TGCTCCGCGGCCGGGAGCCTGGATTCATCTTCGGTACGTGTCGCTGAGCCTGACAGTCATCGCGGTTTGAGAGGATGTGTTAAAATGCTTCCTGGTGCCCTCTGAAGGAATCCATTCTAATTCCATCTGGAGAAGCATTACTGATTTTTTTTTTCCCCCAGGCTTTGGTGAATGCTTCAGCCTTCTGCCAAGAAATCTGCTAAGAAATCTCTAATCGCTAAATTCTCTGGTCTGCTTTCTAAATCTGTTATTCCAAGCAATGAGTCTTTAAACAACCACTTGAATTCGAAATTAGAATTGCTATTCCATGAACTTTATGTTACTGGCACCAGTTTTCTTTTGTATATCACAGCAGCGGTCTGCCGGGATTAGAGGCTTCGTCTATGCTATGCCTGGAGGCACAGACATACCTTTGAATGTTGCTTTGCAGAACCTTTTGAGATTGTGCCAGAATGGACCGTGAGTGTATGGACAAGATCAACAATTACTGTCAAAAGCACAAACTTACACTGGCTTATGCCAACGTCAGGATGACTGGCCCATCTCATGATCCTGAGTAAGTTCACTATGTGTGTCATTAAACATCAGGACTCTTCTTGCAGTGAACGAACTGGGTAAAGCTTGCAATCATAGAAGTTAATTTCCTGAAAGTGTGTATGTGGCAGGAAAGCTGGTTGAAACCATAAATTGAGTGGTAGGTGGGTGGTGTGTTTCCGTGTATGATCTATGCTAACTTAAGTGCTTTGATTTCTACTTAGTTTTACAAAGCATGGAAATTATTTGTGATTTATGCTGTTAATTTCTCACCATAAAGGTTGGGTGTATATTAACTGATTTGGTACCAACATGGTTTATATGTAGTTAATTTTTGAACATGTGACAAGAGAGGGGTTTCTTGCTTAAGCTGTTTTGTTTTTACTTTTAGAAACAATTACAGGTGGTAGAATATGTCTTATTTTGTAACACAAATATGGTATTTTGCTGATTTTTTTTCCCTTACCAGAGATCATAGATACTTAAGATCTATGATGTTTCCTTGTGTGATTTTTTTTTTAAATTATTTTTGCTAGTTTGTATGAAGACAAGCCTTATGCTAATAATTAGTATGTTTCTTTTGATGTCTTCCATGTTGCCAGCCAGCACTGTCTGTGCTGATTTATTCTTAGACCTGACTGTAGTCCAGGAATAAGTTAATAAGTATTATCTGGATCTTAAATGTTAATCAGTTGTCTTAATTTTTTTCCCTGTGCAGCTCACGTAATTTAAAAAAGTAACTCTTATCGCAGTGACAGCCACAGCTGTGGTCACACAGCTACGTCTTCATGCTTCAAAAGTGACAGCATGGCACTAGCAGAATTTACATGCATTTTAAATTTACTCATCCCATTTATTGCGCTTTTTCATTTTTTTCTGTGTGCTCTGCTATGTTTACAAATATAATTCAACGCATTCTCTTGTATCTGTAAGTGATGTGAGGTGTGACAGTGATACCTGGGGAAATCCTGGAGAATTTGGGCTGTTCCAAGGAGTACAATGTGCAGTGTCTGGCTACAGCAATGAGTGCTGTAAACCTCTGTTGGTGCCCTTGTGTGCTCTTTCCGGGTGCTCTGCCTGCCAACGGGATGCATTGGCCACTGCTGGTCCTGAGCTGCCTCCCTAATTCTTGTCTGCTGTGTCCCATCTCATAAGTCATCCTGCAGTTGTCTGAGTCATGATGCAGAGACACTTCCTGTCATCTCCTCCTGTCCTGTCCTGGTTTTAGTGCTGTAGCTGCTTCCATTGCAATGTCTGGCAGGGTCAGTGCTGAACACAATGTAAGAAGGTGGAGAGAGTCTGGGCTGGCTCAATCCTGAGCGGCTGCAAGCTCTTTCGGGCTGGGAAGGCAGTGTGTGGACAACCAGGCCAGACCTGCCTTATCCTGTCAAGTCTAGGCAGTGCTTATTAGCTTGGGGTCCGTGATGGATAAGCATGACTGTACTTTTGGGACTAACTCATGTAACACTCATTCAGGTGATTCTCAACTCAGATCATTAACTCATGAGTCATTGAGACTCAGACTGCAGATTTCCTCAGGGTGCTTAAATAAAATGGTGAATTTTGGATGCAAAGTCATAGCTGAATGTGTGTAGTATTCAGAGCTTAGATATGAGTTGGCTAACAAACCCTTTCCCAAAGAATGATCTTTCTTTCATGCTTTTTTGGTTTTTTGTATGCTGTTTCCTCCGTATAGCCTATGTGGCACACTGTGGTGTGCCTTGTCCTACTGTTTACCTCTGTAAGATCTTTCAATGAGGTTTGCTTATGCAATGATTGCAAACACTATTCTGCATCTGCATTGTTTTCCACCCAAACATTTAATTAAAGGGACATGGAGAGTGAAGTTGGAACAATGAGAGAAGTAAATTTCTGAAGTCATTCTACTACTTGAGACAAATTGTCCCACAGAGAAACTCATGGCGTTATACCTAGACTGTTTCTTTGTGTGAATTTATCTTGTTGACTATGAGGTCGTGTATCTATATTCTCTGCAGAAATCTAGTTGTTGTTTTCTCCTCTGTTGTCTTTTGTGCAAAGGCAGTAGTAAAAACATAAGGGATTTTGCAGGACAAGTCAGATCTGGGCAAGAACTGATTTTGCTGGAAACCAACCATTTGTTATTAGGCCACTGTGGTGGGTTGACCCCAGGCGGCAGTGAAACCCCAGGCGGCAGTGAAACCCCAGCCAGCCCCTTGCAGTGGGGTGGGGAAGAGAATCGTAAGGGTGAAAGGAAGAAAAACTTGTGGATGGAGATAAAGACTCTTTTTAATAAGTGAAGCAAAGCTGTATGTGCATCCAAAATGAAGCAAGGAATTCATTCACCACTTCCCATCAGCAGACAGGTGTTTAGCCATTTCCAGGAAAGCGGCGCTCCATCATGTGTAGCGATTATTTGGGAAGACAAACATTATAAGGCCAAACGTCCCCTCTTCCTCCTCCTTCCCCCAGCTGTTACTGCTGAGCGCAATGCCGTATGGCATGGGATATCCCTCTGGCCAGCTGCCCTGGTTGTGTCCCTTCCCAGCTTCTCACACACCCCAGCCTACTTGCTGGGTGGCCAGAGTGGGGTTAAAGAAAAGCCTTTGATGCTATGCAAATACTGCTCAGCAATAGGTAAACCACTGGTGTGTTACCAACACTGTTTTGCTCCCAAATGCACAACATAGCACCAAACCAGCTGCTATGAAGAACGTTAACTCTGTTCCAGCCAGACCCACTACAGTCAGTCGCAACAGTTCCCTGTTCTGGCTCAGGGAGCTGCTGTATGGGAAGCAGTGTGTGCACAGTTGTGCAATGGAAGGCCGGGGGATTGGTGGTCCAGTGTGGAACGGCAGGATTGTTTTGGGACTGCCTTTAAATTCATGTCTTACGAAGCACCAGACACCTTTTTTTGCACTTACTAAATAGTGTATGTAGCAGTGTGTCAAAGGTGAGTGTTGATGTCACGTCTGGATCTGTGAAATCAAAATTAGCTAATATTTCCTCTCTATATAGTTTTGCAGTGCTGAGATGTCTCCTGGTGTTAAGGCTTCACAACCTTGCCTGTAACAATACTGACCTTATGCATTCTTTTGCTTTTAACAATTTCAATAATTTTGCTTTTAAAAAGCAGTTAAGCATTTAAAAATACTGTTAGAACTAATAAAGTACATGCATTTGTGACCAGGGAGCAAACATTTAAAAATATTTCTACTAAAGAATTATGATAATCAGGAGTTAGATAAAACAAAAACACATGAATACTTAAATACCTCCACAGCTAACTTAGAGTGCTTTGTAGATAATAAAGTTGAATCTGAAAAAGTTCTTAAGTATATGAGACAAAATGTAACAATGTTTTTAGAAAAGTTTCCTTCGTTTGCAGGTTCACAGTTGTGGTTAAAATAAACGATGTAGAATATGGTACTGGCACTGGTAAAAATAAGAAGGAAGCAAATGCAGCAGCAGCAAAAAAAACCTGGGAAATGATTAAAAACCAGGTGAGTAAATGGCAGGATTATTTTTTTTTTTGTTAGTAAAGGTTGAAGATGAATCTCTAAAAGTAGCCAGTAAAATATCATTGTTTAATTTGGAAGAGTTTCTAATTATTTATTTCAGTTGTCTTTGTTGTTATTCAGTGCTTTTCTACCTTTTACTACTGAATTATTTTCCTTATTGTTCTACTACAGGGTTGGTATGTAATATGGAAGGTGTTTCCTCCTCTGCTGTTGTAGGAGGATGAGGAAATGTATTTGCCTTTGTTAAGCTGCCTTGGTATATCCAGAGTGGACAGTGTTCCTTTTTCATCTTAACAACTGTTCAGTAATTTTGTATCTTCAAAACATTTGCAGGGCGTTGCTTAGTGTGTTTATTGCGACTCTGCTCATAAAATTGCTTATTTTCACTTGATCTGATTCATCTTTGTTTCCTTGTTACATTCTGTATGGTATAGCTGATTCTATACCTTCTATTCTTCCTTGATTTAGTTTAGGTTTGAATTTTGTTCCTCTGTTTTCTGCCATGTGTTTTGTGGTAGCCATTCTTTATTCTTCTTTTTGACTCTGAATGCTTCTTAGGACCTTTTGAGTGAAATTTTTCCTTACCTGTTTCCATATGCGTTTTACTGTGTCACCATCAGTAATTTAACACAATTGCTGCATGTTTGCTAATGTATTATTAATGCTGCCAAATCATGAGACAGCTTAAAAGTCCTGCTTTCGCCTCATGTACACGCACAGGAGCACTTGCAGCCCTTGCTAACAGCAGCAGCAGCAGCATTCTGCTGCCATCCCTGTTCCTGGCCCCCCTGTAAGGCTGTGAGAAAATTCAGAAGGCTGCATTCCCCTCGCCCTTTTTTTTTTTTTTTATGAGACATACCACAGCTCATTCCCTGTCTTTTCTTAAAAGAGGTGACATGGTGCTAGGTTGTTGGAAGACATTGGTGCGAATCTTAGAAAATACTTGGATTTACATTTCTGTGGAAATTAAAAATGTAGTAATTCTGGGTTGGGGTGGCTGTCCTTTGCCACAAGAGACTCTGTTAATGCCAATTTGGCATTTCTTAAAAATATTTTGAAATGCTGACAAACATTGCAGCTATATTAGACCTCATGCACTGTTAATCTATTTATTAAGCTTAAGTTTTTAAGTTACCTATTTTGTTTTATAGCCAGAGAGTCCTTCAAATGTGCAAGCTGCAAAATTAATGACATCTCCAGTGACCTCATCAGCTGTATCACCCAGCGACTATGTCAGCCTACTAAATGAGTATTCACAAAAGACATTGCAAGCAGTTGATTATTCTAACAGAATCCGTTCTGGAGCCGCCCATGCTCCTGTGTAAGATGTGCTTTGTCTTCATACTTACTTTTAATATTCCTTTGTGTTTAGTAACACTACCATTAGTTACCCTGAGTAGTGTTAGATGAATCTTTAGAAATACAATATAAATTTGGAGGTAGTCTGGAGAGAATCCAGTGGAGAGCCATTAAGGTGGTTGAGGAGTTGGAGGATACAGTACAGGAGGAGAGGCTAAGAGGACTGAGTTTAGGTGGGAGAAGAAATGGCATGGTGATAAAATGGTAGTCAGTGTTGAATACACCTTAAAAAGTGCTAAATTTTCACTCTCTGAAAATTGGTTATCTTGAAGGCATGTCAAATCTACTATTATTAATTAGATTAAATGTATATTGCAAATACTGTCCTAAAGATGTGTATTTCAGATTTCCATTTTATAAAGTCAATTGACTGTAGTGTTTAAAATCATTAAGACTTGTCATATGGGATATAAGACTTTATTCCCTGTTGTATTTTACAGGTTTTCTTGTAGCTGTATGATTAGTGGTGTTTTGTATGGAATTGGCACTGGACCTACTCTAGGTGCTGCAAAACAAGCTGCCGCAAAACAAGCGTATGAGCAGCTAAATATGGAACCAGCTCTAACAGTATGTGCTACATTTAGCCTTAAGACAGAAGTTTAATTCTTGCGTCTTTAATCTTTGAACAGATTTCTTCATAGTATTTAAAAGCATATTCCATGGATTCCACTTAAGAAGGAAGCAATCCATATTTTGGTGGGTTGGTTGGGCTACAGGATTCTGTTGGTAAAATTTATGTCGTGTTTCTATATTCAATCGTGGGATTAAAAAAAATCTCACAATTGATGTCTCTGTGTATCTCAGCATATGGCCTTGTATGTGTCATTCAAGGATGCACATATACTAAAAAATTCTCAATCCTGACTGATATCCTGGTTGGCTCCTGTGGGAAGTGTTGTCGAGCTGACTGGCTATGAACATAAATCTCTTACTGCCTTCTGTTGGATCAAAAACCTATTGTGAAATGTAAGAAAGGCAAAAGCAGGAGTGAGAACCAACAGGACTTGCCTTCTGTAGTGTTCCAAGACAGAGTCTAGCGAAGCAATTGCTAACACCATCCTCTGGAGAGCAGAGCTGTGGTCTTCATGTTGGCCAAAAAATTAACGGTCCAAAAAATTATCAGAATTCTAATAATGATCCAAACTCACTTCTGAGATGCACCAAATGGTACATATGAACAAATGTAAATGAAGTGTAGTTTAAAGGGAAGGAAGGGAGTATGGAGGAGGAAGGAAATATTTTTTAAGTAATTTTTTCATTATTTGGCTGTTTACTGTGAATTTTAAGTGTTGCTATTATTGTTTTTAAGTTAACCATGTAATTAATGGCCTATTATAGCTCTAGAATCCTTCCTTAGTATTTTCCTGTGTTGCGAGGTCATGGGTCTTTGCCTTTTCATCGAAGTCTGAAATTTACTACCCCCAGCAGAACCTCTGTAGCAATTACCCCAAATTTGGGATAGGTTGTTTTGGTTTGGTTTTATTTTTTCTTAATTCCCAGCAGTGTCTGGGCAACAAATAAAATGTAACTAGCAAAAAGTAGTAAATGCCCAGAACTCCTGAATTGAAAAAATAAAAAAAGGGTGGTGGTTTGTTGGAAAACATAAACCCTTAAGTTTCTTTAACTTTTTGTCAGGTTATGGTCTGTAACAATTGTATGTGTTGTTCTTAATGTTACATTTATGCTCTTATGACATGGGGGAGGAAGGGAAAGAACCTCTACTAAATATTTAGGATTCATTTTTTTAGTTGACCCCAATTTAGCAATCTGGGATTTGCAGGGTTTTCACTCAGAAGACATTGAATGTCTTTTTGTACAGACTCAGATTTTCAGTTCTGCTGATGACATATAGCACAGCCTACATCTATCTCATTTTCCACACAGACAATTGCATATGCAGTAAACAATGAAAATCTTTGCTTTTAATAACCGTTTCTCTTACCCTGATTTTTAATAGATCCCAGCCTCTATTTCTGCAGATGTGTCTATATAGTCTCCATGTGACTGGGAAAAAGCTCCCTGTGTTTCACTCCCCTGGGTGGAAGTTAGGCAGATGCCTTTCTTCTGCAGGGCTTTCAACACTCAGGGCAGTTAACAACTTCCACTTAGGACCCTCTAATCTTCCTTTCCCCATCTTTGAATGGCATCTTTGGTTCTAGGGATTTTTTTACCTGATTTTGTTAACCATTCCTGTTTTTTCTTTTTTCAGATGGAAAGCGAAACATCTAACGACAATTCTACATTTAGCAAACATAGTAATTCCTCTCAAGTGCAAACTCAGTCTGACTCAGAGTAAGTTGGATTCACTGATAATGTGTTGGCAAAATGTGTTTACTCATCTTAGAGGGTCATGTGATCTAGCTCTAAATAAAATCTGTCATAGTTTCTTTATTGCAGTGTAAAGCCATTATTGAATTTGAGCTTATATTTGTTAGACTTCAGAGCAAAATTTGTTGTACTTGTGCAATTTTATTCGAGTCCTTATGGATTAGCTTATAATAATTTTAGAGCTTTCTGATATATTTTGCCATGAGTAGTTCTTTCAGAAGCATTTTTACAGTGATGTAAATGGAATAACCTACCTCATTCAGTAGCATTATTTCATGCCATTTTAAACACTCATTTTCCTATTGTGACGTTCTTGTGAATGTAGTAAAATTCAATTTCAGTACTTTCCTGTGCTCTGCGTTCTGCTTTCTTCTCCGCTTTTTTTTCCCCCCTTCCTTTTTCATTCTCCATAAAGGGAGAATTTCCACCAAAGGTAAAATTTGCTTAGCAAAAGAAAGTGAAGATGCATGAAGTTTCACCTGTGATTTGGGAACCCTAGGATAAGCCTTTTATGTCCAGCAGTTAATTTGACTGTAGTGCCACTACCACTTCTTTTGTTCTTTGTGCGACTGTAAAGGAAGCTGATACGTACAATGCTAGAGGTGGCTGCACTGCCTTGAAATAAACATCTGTATTTAACCTTTTAATTAAAGGATATCATGGAATATATATCATATAGATATCTAGATATCATTATATCATATTATAGAAATAGAGGAGTGTATTACAAAATGTTACTGTTCTATTAGCTTTCCAGGATAAAGTTTTGTAGTTTAAATCAGTCATGATTGTTTATGCTTTTTCAGGTTTTGCTTTTAAAAACTGTATATTTTTTTATGCTTTTTTTTCTTGTGGCAATCATTTTATTTATGCTTTTGTTGCTTTCATCTAAAACTAATCTATTATTTTTAAATAACAGCAGTATTTGCTTTAAAGACTCAGCTGCAGAGTTGGTAGAAAAAGTGAAAGACATGGCAGTAGGTGAAAAGCCTTTACGTTCTCAGGTACAGTATGAAAATTGTCTTCCTTGTTATTACATTTTCGACCCTGAATAGAGCAAGCATCTTATCCAAGTGTAGCATCAGTTTGTTCCTTTATCCACTAAGCACTAGAAAACGCGTGCATTTTTCCTAAGAATATTTGGCACTTTCTTACCGTTAACCATTAGTCACTGTGTACTGTGTACCCAATTTATGTACTGTTGACTGAATGGGCAGTACTCCCAAGAAAGGAGATCAAACTAAACTCCTGTTTTTCTGTGGGAAGAATGATAATGTCATAGATAGCATACGTGAAAAATTTTAAGCTAAGATACAGTGTTATTCCATTGTTTATACAAGATATGAATGCATTTATAGACAATTCCTAAATACATTCTCAGCCATATTTTAAACTAAGTTGAGCGCAAATATTCAGGATATCTTAGTAAGGTTCTTTTCTCTTTTTCATGTAGAAAGACGTACAAGGTTCTGCCCAGAAATCCAGAAGGTATGTGTTTATTTCTAGGTTGCTATCTCCCATAAACTATATTGCAAACTACTTCAGTGTTTCTATATCTAGCAAAGATGTGCTGCTATTGGGAGGTACATTTCTTTTTTCTTGTCACATACTAGAAAATGAGCTCATGATAAGTTTTGCTTTTATCCATGTTAAAGAAAATTGGCAGCTAATTTTGACAAAGCAAGAAACAAGCAAGAGGAAAAAAAGACATCAGATTCAGATGAAAGTTTGCCAGGTTTGGACACAGATACCAGTGAGGAGAATAAAAGTCCATACACTGTGAATAAAAGGTAAGAAGGATTTTTTTTTTAATAAGTTCTGTATGGCAATTACAGTATGTAGTGGTCTAGATATGTTTGTTTATGATAGAATGTGGGAAAATACTGCTGTAAAAGTAACTTTCAAAGAAAATTGGTATTTGAGATGATATTTTTTCCTAGAAATTTCATATATGGTATAGCAGCTGTCATGCAATCATATTTAATGCTTACAACAAAAAGTAATTTGTGTGAAGATGTGAGGGTAATTACCCTACCTGCTTTCAAGGGTCAGTTTCCCTTGGTTTTTTAATCTTCAGGTGTATGATTTAGACCTGTATAGGTGTTGAGTGATCCTGTAGAATATTTCAGTAGATGATCTGTCAGGATCGTTTTTCCATGTTGTAAATTTAATGTTAAGTATACTTAAGTTATATATCTTTTTCTCTTTTTTTAAGATTTCTTAGGGAATTTAAAAATATAATGCCTATTGGTGCAGGTGGTTTTGGGAATGTTTTCAAGGCAACAGAAAAGATTGATAAGAGAACCTGTGCAATCAAACGAGTTCAATTCACAGAGTACGTACTGTATATTTAATTCTGTTTTTTACTTTAGGACAAGCTTAATCAAGATTTTACTGTGTTGTTTTGTGTCTTTAATAATCCTAGGAGCATTTAAACAATTTTCATTATTTATTGTCCATTCCTTCTGGTAAACAGTTTTCTTTATTTCTAAGTGAAGCTGAAAATGGCATGCAACTTTGTTAATTTTTGCGTGCACTGGAGTAATTTCAGATGCAGCTGTAAAAAAGTAGATTCTATTTTCCCTGAACACACTAGTGCTCTGGTTATTAATATTGCAAAATAAAATCTTGCTGACTAGTAGAACATTGAAAGCAGTACTGTTACTTTTGACAGGTTACATGGAAAAATGTACATATCAGTAATGTGTAATGACTATAATTAGGGAAAATACAGAAAAATGAAAGTAATACATTTTATAGTTTGTAATTGGAAAATGCTTTATATATGACCCATGTAGTCATTATTCTCACACTGTTATTTGTCCTTTATAAGTCTCAGAGAATTATGATTTTTTTTTTTTTTTAAAGTAATGTTCTGTAACCAGTACCTAGTGGAGTAATTTATCAGCAGCTGAAAACCTTGAGTTTCTTTTAGGTAATCTATTTGAAGTTTCAAGTTGCTGGAGATACTTGTCTCTTACATTGTGTAACTGCCCTTCAAATTCTCGTGTTCTTCACAAATACATGCTATTTTCATTTGTATTGCAATTCTGAGAACTATACCAAAAAACATTCTACTGATTCTTCAAATAAACACTTCTGGTCTGCTGATGGGTTTGAACTTACTCCACTAGGCAATGTTACAAGTAGTAGTGCAGGCCAAATTTAGTGATAGTTCTTCATGAGTATTTACACTGATGTCTATATATGTAAACAAACTTCATAGAGGTGAAAAGAAAACATGGGTGTTTACTACATTGTGTTTGGCTACCTAATGTAATTATGCATTGCAACTATCTGCTTTTTCAGCTTTTTTGGAGTGGGGCTTTCATTTCTAATATGGTTTTAATATGGTTAAAACATTTTTGCACTGTGAATAACTAAGCAGATGAAAGAAACCCTATAGAATTTGTAATTACAATTTTGAACTTGTATGAAGGAGAATGCTAGTTTTACGTTAATTTAGAGAAAGAACATATCTGTATACTGCTACTCGATATCATGTATTTTATTTAACTTAGTATTAATTTTTTATAAGGAAATGCATTTTTTTTTCCTCTCCAAATAGCAAAGTAATGCGTGAAGTAGAAGGACTTGCAGGACTTGACCATGAAAACATAGTGCGGTATTATTGTAGCTGGAAAGGGCACGACCGCATAAGTTTTCCAGACTCAAGGTAACTACAAGATAGTAGTCTTCAGTCACAAACTTGTTTGCCATAGTCAATTTTATGTTGTAAAAAGAAAAGCTGATGATTGGTTATAAATCATTATACAAATATAAATCCACGCACATACTTGCATACTTACTGTTAGGAAAAAAGGCACACTGCTTTTCAGCAGCAGGTTATATATAATTAAGTATATTTTTATCTTCTTTTCCTTGATGAATAAGATATTTTATATAATTTTATGTTTCTCCTCTTAATATACAGAACTTGCTGAATCTATAGAGGAGTGTAAGAACACAGAACTCCAAATTTGGGGCTAGAATTAACAACAGACACTAAAAAATTGTCTGGCAGTTGGCTGCAACTTCGTGATCGGAAGTTTCCTTTTTTTAATAAGTACTGGTCAGCCAGTAGCTCTCATAGATCTAATTATTTCTCTGTTAGCATTTTAACCATGATGCCTGAAACAGTTTTGGTTGTTGAGAACAGAAAAACAAAATGAAATGTTCTTTCATTAGTCTTTCAACACTAAAACTTCTGGGAAGACAGTGGTGAGAGTTTTACCTCTACGTTAGATTATTAGCTTTTCAAAGCTTCTATGGTAAGCTTTTTTCACTAGCTGTAAATTCATGCCCTTCAGATAAGTTGCCACACTCACCTAGAGCCATAAAATATTAATGGATTCAAAATTATGGTTGGCATGATACTTGTCCAGCGTGCTCAGCAAATAAGGAATAAAATGGGGGGGGAAAAGTCTCATGTCAAACCCCAACTGTTAATATGTTAGAGTCTCAGTATCACATGCATTTTATATTGAACAGTTATTGGGTAAAAGACAGAAAAAAAGTCCTCAGAGCTGAGGTCCCAGCCTGGAATTCCACTTAGTGCACTGACCTCAAGGTTACAGAGAGTCCTGAGCCACCTAATGCTTGTTCTTCTAGTGCCTCAGGCGGCTTTGTTCCAGGGTATTCGCATGACACAGTGCAAGTAGGAAAAAGTGTTGCCACCTCCTCTTCATGTTGTCCTTCCCCTCGCCATCTCCAGCCTCAGCCTATCCTATGGGCTAGTGGTGAGGGAACTCTTCTGGAAAGAATGAGGCTGTCAGGTGGGTGAATACATTTAATCTAGATTTCCAGCTCGCTCTCAGAAGGGTTTCTCTAACTTGCAGACTGATGCCAAAGATAGTCAACGCACTACATTCTTGAAGAGACAGAGGTTGGAAGAATGATCGTTCTGGGTAGGAGAGGAAGGCTAATGCTGTGTTTGTTGAGCAGAATAGAGGATACCTGCCAGGGACTTGCAGCAGTTCCTAGAGGGCAAGATGGGAGCCAAGGACAGTGCTACTTCTTCCTGTATAGGGCAAGCCTGTAGATATGCGGGGAGCAGAATTATTTGAGTGCTCAGAAAACTTTCAGTGTGAACAAGGAAGCAAGCAAAATGTTAAGAATATTCCAGGGGTATGTAGCAACTGAGCAGGGATTCTTTGGTTTGCAGTTCTATTTATTTATATCTAGTACAAATTGATCTAGGATCTTTTTTTTGAAGTCAAGAGACTTGCAGACTCTGTTTTGGGTAACTCCAATAATAATAATCATCATCAGAATTTTTTTTAAAGAGGAACCTGAGAATCATTGATGGCTTGGGAGGAATTGTATCTTGCTAATTTCAATATGGTATATAATTTTGTTTTGCAGCCAGAAGCCAGAAGTAATTCTCTGTCTTTTCATCCAAATGGAATTATGTGAACAAGGGTCATTGGAAAACTGGATTGAAAAGAATAGACTAGACCAAAAGTATAACCAGATGGCAGAAAACAAATTTTTACAAATACTGGAAGGAGTGAAATATATTCATTCTAAAGAGTTAATTCATCGAGACCTCAAGGTAAGTAGGATATTAAAAAAAGGTAAAAAAAAGTACTTATTGGAACTTCAGAAAATGTTAAATTGTTCTATTCTTTTAGTCCAGTCTGTACCCTAGTAGTGTGCCTCTTCTGATATTGCTAGTGATTTTTTTTTTTCAGCAACTGGCTGGATTACATCCCAAAATCAGAAGGTAAACTAGAGGATCTCAGAATGCAGTAGTTCAAAAAAACAGTAGTCATCAGTTAACAGGCATTATCAGTGTATTATGTGTTACTGGGTGACAAGACTGCCTATTGGAAAAAGAAATACTAACTTTACTTGATAAAATAATTAGAAGAAAGAAAGTGAAAAGTTGAGTCTAGGAAGTTTGTTCTTGCCATATTGTAAAGGGGTAGTTTATCTATCCTAATACATACTGTGTTTGACGACAACATACTCTAGTTGCTCTTGTGTCATGTATGCATGCAAATATTCGAATGCTACTTTTTTGGATAGAATTTCAGTCTCTACAAGTGCACAATCATAAAAAGATTTTATTTCAATATAAAGATTATAAAGGACAAAGTTACAAGCCTTCAGGGCTTCACATGCCAGCTGTGATGTTGCTTATGGAGTTTTACATCACTTACTTTGTGAAAACATTGTTAGTGTGGTGGTGTTCCTAAAAATGGCTGTAGTGGGTCACGTTAAATGTTGATCTAGGATACTGTTCTCCTCATATAGTGGCTAATTCCAAAGACCTAGAGAGTATTAGAGCTGAGAGATGATACAGTGACGCTGTCCTCGATGCATATTCACTTGCTCTCAAGACTTCCAGTAACCTGAAGTTCATGGACTTTGTGAGCCAGAGATTGAAATCTTTTGCATTTTGCATTCACAGTGTAGTTCCATATCATGTTCACTGCCCATTCATAGAATCTTGTCTTACAGACAGATATGTTCGTAACTTCTAGAGCTTTTCTATCAATCAGGCTTATTGCTAAAATACTGGAATGAGCCACAAATGTACACTCATTATTTTCCCTAGATGCCTGGGAAAAAAGAGATCTAATAAGTGCCTTCCTTCCTCACCCATTAATTCTTAGCCCTTCCCACTCTTATGTGCTTTGTATTTTCTCAGTCCTTCATTCCTACTTTATTTTCATCTCAGCTCAATCTCCTACTTTACTCTATTCCTATGAATCTGTTGCCCCAGTCCCTTATCCATGGCATCTGGCTGTAACCCGCTTCCAAGTCCTATTGCTAACTTGTCTGTCTGCATTTGAATTTAGGAACTTTTCTCCCCACTTTGATCTGCTGTCAACTTAGATGCTTGGCCATCTGAGATCTCCATGTCCCAGAATCAAAGCTGAAGGATAGGTTCAAACTGAGATGAATCCCATTTGTGCTGGTATGAACAGAGTTTTCAAATAGTGTAACCAGGTATAGGTACTGTATTAAATGTGTGTGGACGTGGTCAAACTTGAACAGAAGAACTGCACCAGGCATTCTTGACACAAAGATCTCTTCCTGTTAAATATGTCTCCTGTCTCTTGGCCTTACAGTCCACTGGAGCTTCTTTGAGTAAAAGATAGCGTGAGGCTATGGGGCTATTTCGTTTTCTTTTAATAACATTCAGAAATGTAGTTTCTTTATCTTCTTTAGGAAACTTCATCCAAGCATATACAAGTCTATTTTTAGATGCTTATCATTTTGTTGAATATAAAAATGGGAAGCTCAATGGAAACTTAAAAGTGATACTGTAAGATGCCTGTAGTAAGCCCTAACTCTGCAATTGACTTAGTACAGATAATCCTGCTGTGCCTAGGAGAAACTATGATTTGAGTGGAATTCCATGTAAGCCTAAATGCTTTGCCCAAGTGTATCAAATCCCAGAGCTAGGATTGAAGACTAAAAACCACTTCTGGATATGAAATATTACATGCACAATGTATCTGAAGAGCATTAAAGCATGATACAGTTATGACTGAGCCAGTGGAAAAAAACCAAGTTGCAGTTAATGTGGCACATACTACTTTAAATTTTAAAAATTGAACTTTTTTCTATTTCCTTACATTTAGATTGTGTTTTTAAAAATTAATTGAACTTTTTCCTGTTTCCCACCCCATCAGTTTCTTAATGCTAATTTTTGTGAACAATTATCAAATTTTATGGGGAGCACTTCTGTGGCTGATTATGCTTGATGATAAACCTTAGTCATATGGTGATTTTTTTTTTTTTAATATATATAGCCTCAGAATATATTCATATCACGTCAAGATAAAATAAAAATAGGTGACTTCGGTCTTGTGACTTCTGTGACATATGAGACACTGACTGAGAACAGAGGAACAAAATCATATATGGCACCAGAACAGGTAATTATTCTGCTATATTACTGTCTTTGTAACTAGATTTGCATTATAAACTCAGCATTGGATGTTCTCAATCCTAACCTCAGTACTAAACCAAGTTGCCTAAAATTCCCTGGTATGACTGTCTATGAGGATAACTGTATTCTGGAGAAAGCTGTCGGCAAGTGTGGTGATTTTATTTTGCTGTGCTAACTTACATACAGGGTCTGACACTGCATGCTGCAAGGAATGCTCTTCCAAAACCAGGCTGCCAGCCATGTAATTAAATTTGAATTTAGGATCTCTGTTAACTGTGGCACTCAAGTCCTATTTGTTTCATTATTTGTGACAGGGAGATATTGATATGCCTTATCTGTATAGGTCTGTAGAAGTCTTCATTTCAGGATGTTTAATATGATATAATAGTCACTATTTAACAGGTCTGTAGCAGAAAGGGTTAACAACTAAGATGATGATCAAGTAGGGCCAGTCCTGCAGCCTTGGGGTGGAAACTTTTACTGACTTCAAATTTTGCCTTAAGAAGGGCTGTCCAGTTGGATTTGATGCTTATATTGTTCTTATTCTAATCTTTGTAGTTCGGGGACAAATATGGAAAGGAAGTAGATATTTATGCACTGGGATTAATTTGGTTTGAAATTCTTTCGGCATTCACTGGTCATGAGAAAAATGTGGTATGTAATCTTTAAATTTAAAAATAAAGTCTCACTGTCATCGTTTTGCCTTGCTGCTGGTATTGTGTGCTGATTGCATGCTAGAAGGAATCTGTATACCTAGCATACAGTCCCTATTTACATTTTCCCTTTGATTTATTTCTGTAAGGCCCATAAATCCTCACAGTTCAGGTGAAATGTAATAACTGCAGTAAAGAAATATTACTGGTTTTATTTCACTTATATCCTACTGAAATACACATTAAAGCCTGAGCACGCTAAAGAATAATGTCTAACAAAAAAGATTTCAAGTTTCTGATAAATCTTTTTGTTTGATCAGAGTATTTGAAGGGAGTATTTTTCTAATTTTAAAAAATAAATTATGAATGGGAGTTTTGTCTCTGCCACGCTCTCATCTTCACTGCACACTGGAGCAAGAACAAAGTTTCTATAAAGCCAAAACACTTGCAGTTTTCCAAAATGAAAACAAAAGTGATTTGGAATATGTATCTTTAATTGAAAAAGATCTTTCTTAAAAAAGAAAACCAGTGTTACTTAGGATTTTTTTTAAAAGGTATCTTTTATGTGTCCTTTGCTTTTTCTTGGTACCTTGCACTTTATTAGGGTAATGGCTCATATGCTCAAACCTATGTATTTGTAGGACAACGCTGTAGCTGCTGAGTATTGTCTAAAGTAACTGTAACACATGTACGTGGTTGGACCCAGAAGCTCTTGAACACTGCCAGCTGGGTCCTTTTGCCAATATGAGAAAACCGTACCACTGTGTCTGCTCTGCTCCCAGGTTCAACTTGCTTCTGTTTAGTTACTTTGCAGTATTTTCTAAGACATCTTGTTCCTGCTCATAGCTGACTGTGCAAACGTGTTTACAGTCAAAAGGGCAAGACCAATTATTTAGTCTTGTTTCCTTAAAGCCTAAAAATCTTGTGTCTGTAGGCAGGTAGGGAAGTCATGTGGATGGAAAGTCCTAGGATAGTCTTCAGCTGCTCCATCGGCTTAAAAATAATTTCACTTAATGGAGCATGATAAACTCTGTATGGTGCTGGGAAGCCCTGCTGAAATATCATCATGCAAAAGTGAAGTTGGTTATGAGCTGAGTAACTGGTTCAGCTGATGATCACCAGCAGGTAGGGTCACAGGCCTAAAGCTACTGCTGAAGAGTAGGGAAAAAGCCTGAAGTTCATGGGAGCTGTTGTTTTACTAGATACTGCTTATAAGGGCTTACTAAGCCAGGCTATAGGATCCACAGACTAGCTAATGATTCAGGATGCATAGCTAAGTGTGCAAGAATATGGCTGTCATCTTCTTCAGACGCACGTTACAGTACTTAACAGCAACGTGAATGATGTGGATTGCTCTATTTAGCCAGAAAGCCACATCATGTGGAAAAAAAATAGTTATTACCCTGAAACAGTTTCTGAAAGCATGTAATTAGAAACTCTCTATATGTTGGTTGCTTTGAACCCCACGCAGCATTTTCTGCAGTGACAGAGAAGTAAGTGTGTGGTACTGAACAAGATAAAAGGAAGCACACCTGCTTGGCTTGCAAATAGTAACATCCAAAGTAGGAAATTTACTTGTCTTGCCTTTTTTTTATGTGGTAAGAGGATATAAACCCACTACTTTTCAATTAAGGAAAGAAGGCTGATGGTTCTGAAATAGAGAGTATTGCTGAAACAAACACATCATTGTAGAATGTGAAGCTTTTAAGCTTAGAAAGGGACAACAGTTGATGAAAAGACCATAAAAACAAAACAAAGCACAACTAAATGGAAAAAACTTTCAAACTGTTTACAGTTACTTTTTTACTAAAGCCTTACCTTTTTTGTAGATTTGTATTTTCCTAATTACTTCAGTAAATTATATGGGTCATAAAGTGAGATGCCATATCTCATCAACAAAAACATACTGAAACTGTTCTCTTTTATGAATTTCAGGTATGGAGCAAGGTTAGAGATGGGAAACTTCCAGAGAGCTTCACCAACCGATTTCCAACAAGCGTATGGGATTTTCATACATTTATTTTAGTTAATTTACTCATTAAAAAAAATAATTTATTGACATTTAATTTCTTTGTTGCAGGCACCCATAATCAAAAAGATGCTTTCAAAATGCTCTTTAGCAAGATATTCTGCATCTGAAATACTTCATTTTTTAAAACCTAATAAAGACAATGCCTCTGCTGGCCTTAGTGTCAGACCCACGAAAGGTAACAGCAGTGTGCCTGTTACTCTTTAGTTATATACTTCAAAGACTTCAGACTTGCCTGGACTGGAAGAACTCTGTGTGTGGCGGTGACAAGCAGGGAGAAGAGACAGGCACATTAGTCCCTCAGATGCTTGTCTTTGACAAGATACAGTTCAAACAATTTGTTGCTGTGGAGCCCACATAACGCCATAAAGGTAAATAAGCAGACATTTCTAAGCAGAAAAACAGTAGTAAAGTGCTGTGTGCTTTTTCTGAAATGTTAAATGGGTTAAAGAGGGTGCTTGGTTAAAAGGACTAATATAAATGAATGTATAATACATTTTATGTTCTTATGAAAATTTTTGCTGATCTGCTGCAAGTATTTGTTGCTAAACAAGAATCTGATTTTACATCCTTTTGTAAGGCCTGAAGTTGTTTGTTTTTTTTCTCATCATGAATCACAAACACATAGATCATTTCACTATTCTGAACTAATTAGTTTTTCTTTGTTGTGATCAAGATCTGGAAGAAATGATATCCTGACTGTTGGGTTTGCCTGGCAAGGTTTTGGTAGC